AGGCCGCTGGCAGTCTCCGTCGCCACGGGCCTGTGGCAGGGCTGTGACCGGCACCTCGGGGCGCCTGGCCTAACCCCGTGCCCTTAACCACTCCTCCTGATTACTGACCTCATCGTTTTACTTAATCCTCAACCCTCCCTGCAAAGTGGGTATCGTTGGCTTCAGTTTACAGAGGACGCATCTGAGACCCAGAGAGGTTAATGAACGCACCTAAGGTCACACAGCTGTACACGCCAGCGGATGTGTGTTTTGCTCCAGATGCCAAGCGGGAAGGGGGTGGGCCTAGGAGTTTCGAGCACTCCCCACCCCCCAGCTGGTCACACAAGAGTGAGAGGGCACACACACCGCTGTATACTGAGCTCCCCCCGAAAACCTCCGCCAGTGTCTAAAGCAGCAGCCCCAGCCCGTTAGCGAGCAACGCTGTGCACCAGCCACTCTCCCGGCCTGATGGATGGGAGTCATTAGCCCAGGCTGCCGGACACCCGAGCAGCGTGAAATACGGCGACCGGACAAGGGGCTGTGACTGTTCGGGCTGACAGGGTTGTTAATATCTCCATTTTAGTGGGTCATCTGTCTCCACCTCTCCACGAGTGATAAATCCACCTGCGCTCTAGGGCTGGGATCGAGGTGGCCGAGACGTTCTCTTCCACCTTTGCTCATTTCGTCCCAGAAAAATGAATTACACTCTTTAAGGGGAGACAGGATTGGCCGGGCAGGAACCAAAATCCATCTTTGCAGAGAAGGGAAGGTTTGGCTGAGGTGAGGAGGGGGTCGGGGAGCTGGGGCAACAGGAAGGCATTAAAGAAATGGCATCTGCTGCCCGTGATGGGTGGTGTTCTGCTTCCTTTGAGCGAAAGAGAAAAGGATGTGTTCACTGAGGACTTAGAGAAACTCACCTTGCCACTTCCCCCCTCCCTCCTCTTCACTCCTTCTGTGTGTGTTTCTTGAGCACCTACTATGTGCCAGGAGCCACGCAATGCAGTAGTGGACGTGACATTCCAAGCCCCAACTCACCTCAGGGCCTTTGCACTGGCTTTGTCTTCTGCCTCGACTACCCAAACACACAGGTTTGCACATCCTTCTCGCCCCCAGGGGCCTGCTTAACTGTCACTCCCTAGAGAGGCCTTTCCTGCTCTATTTCCAGCTATCAGAATAGATGTCCTCCCCCAGCTGCTCTCTGCCCTGCCTCCCTGCTCTATCTCCATCACAGTGCTCACAAGACAAAACCATCTTGGTCATTTTGTGCCTCTGGATTTCTTATCTGTGGCTCCAGCGAGAACCCTGTGCGTGCGTGCACCACCCCTGCAGGAGGCTCCAGGGAGGGCACAGCAGTGGACAATCAGAGGCCCCGCCTTCGGGATGCTCTCCCCGTCTCAAGATCCTTCACTTAATCACATCTGCAAAGTCCCGTTTGCCATGTGAGGTCACATATTCACGGGTTCTGGGGATTGGGACCTGGATGGACATGTTTGGGGGGCTGTTATTCCGCCTGCCACAGTCGAGAAAGGTAAAGATCAACAATGATATAAAGAATTCGCAGAGTGATACGTGCAGAGTCCCCAGAGGCAGGGAAGGATTTGATGGGTTCCAGAACCCAACAGGATGCCTGTATAGTTTCTAGCCTGTGGATGTAGAATCTCAGAGGGCAGGACTCCAGGCATCCAAATGTTCAAGCACCATCTGTTCACTTTGTAAATAATTTAAGGCCAATGGCTGTCTGGAGGACGCTCAGAATCTCTTAGCTGCCGGTAGCAGAAAGCCCATGTAATGAGCTAAACACTTGCTCACCTAACAACCTTAGAAGTAGATGTACCCCAGCTTGTTTTTCGCCAAGCATCCCTATCATCTTGCTCTGCCTTTCTAACCATCTTGGGCTTTTTTCGTTTCTGATTTGTTGCCTCGTGATCTCAAAATGGCTGCCACAGCTCCAGACATCACATGCTAACATGACACCATCTAAATAGGATGGGAAAGTAAGGAGGAAAGTCTCTTCTCCAGTGCCGCCCTCTAATCCTGGAGGAAAACCTTTCCCAGAAGCCCCTCGCCCCTTCCTCCTGGGCTTTCAGTGGGTCACAAGTCAGGAGGGATACAGGACACATCACTGGCAAACAAGGCCTGGCGTTGCCACAGCTTGATTAGAAATCATAACTCATCCCCTAGGCCTGGGCACAGTGCTGCCAAATCCGGGGTTCCGGAAGCAAGAAAGGAGAGGGGCGTTGGGCAGGCAACAACTTTAGCCAATGATTAAATTGTCCAGCGATAAAAACGTACCCGGCCTTCTCCTCCGAGCCTGACATAACATCTCTGTGGCTCAGTCTCCTCATCTGTAACACAAGACAGGTTGCCTCTCTCGGAGATCAGTGACCTGGTTCAAGGAGGTGATGCGTGTGACACGTTCAGCACGGTGCCTGGCACGGGACAGATGTTAATGATTCTGTGATGACGGTGATTATGATGCTAATTAGTTCTGGCTTGCCAGTGATTGAACTTCGGTTAAATCCATTTTTTTTCTTTCTCGTCCCCCACTTGCGAAAGGTGCTTGTGTTTTTGCCTCCAGGTTTTTTGTTGGCTTGGGCGGCTTCAGGGAGCAGTAAACACAGAGCACTAGCCCAGGGTCTGACTCCGCAACGGTAGATTTAAGAGACTATTATTTGATTTTGTTTTAACGTTTATTCATTTTGGAGAGACAGAGAGAGAGTGCGAGCAGGGGAGGGGCAGAGAGAGAGAGAGAATCCAAAGCAGGCTCCAGGCTCTGAGCTGTCAGCACAGAGCCCGACGCGGGGCTTGAACCCATGAACTGTGAGATCATGACCTGCACCGACGTTGGACGCTTAACTGACTGAGCCCCCCGGGCGCCCCTAAGAGACTATTATTTAAAAGCCTGGGTATCACAGGCGGTCTCGCTGGGACCCGCTCGGTCAGTTTAGATGGAGATTAGCACATGTCAGGGAGGGGTGAAAGTCGCAGGAGCACCCGGTGGGGACTCTGATCGTGAAGTAGCAGGATCGAGGCCAGTGTTCTAAGAAGGACGGCTTTGTCACTGCGTGACTTCATTCCGGGTCAGCGCACCGCCGAAGGCCACGCGGGTCCCAGGGGAGGGCAGAGCATCACTGTCCCAGGCAGTACAGGCCTCGAGGGGAACAGAGACCGTGGCCGGACCGGTGGACCCTGGCCAGACAGGGGGTCTGCCTCCTGGCTCGGGAAACACCCACGGGCCACGCTGACACGGGTGGACTTCTCATCGGGCTCCAGCTGTGGGCACAGGGAGGGGGTGGCCGGCGGGAGGCGCCGGGCAGGGCCATAACCCAGCGACTGGCGTCCTGTGTTCCTTCTGTTCCAGCACAACATGCCCTTCTGGCGGATATCCTGCCACGCCGACCTGGAGGCGCTGCGGCACGCCCTGGAGCTGGAGTATCTATAGCAGGACCCCCGGCCTCGCCACCTGCCACCCCGGGGGGCCTCCCACCCACCCGGGGCCCTCGCCTCCCCCGCCTCCTTGCCAGATGCCGGACCCCGGGCGCGGGCCCCGCGGCCGAGGGGACGTGCCTGGCGACCATCTCAGAAGCCGTCCTTGCAGTCCACGTGGGTCCTGAGACGCAGAGTGCCCGGCAGGGGCTTTGGGATATTTAACTTTGGAGGAAAGGGCTGGCTGGGAGTCCGGGCTTTTCCACAAGACTCAACGGAACAAAAGCGACTTATTGCTGATTTGGGGGAGGGCTGGCGGTGAGGAGGGGGACGGCTTGGGTTTTACTTTTCCTTTTTAATTTATGGACTGATCTCACTACTCCGGTATTACGCTCTCGTGCCTGTGTTGTCGGTTTTCTTAGTCGTTGGCTGGGCTTGGTTTTCTAAACTGGCATGCGGAGCCGTGCAGCTCTAACTGAAGCGCTCTCAGCTCCAAGTTGTGCTTTGGGGGGACAATCATTCCTTGAACAATTGGTGAGGGAGGCGATTCGGGGCTGATGGGAAGACGGTTGCTTATCTTTGTTTTTAAGGACCTAACCTGACGTCATGTGGACAGTGCACGTGCCTTATGCTGCCATCTTGTTTTCTAGGGGGAGGGGACCCTGGGGAGGCGGCGGTACTTTGTGACAGATAAAAGGCATTAAATAAACCCACGTTTACATTTTGAAGTGGGGTAGGGTGTCGCTACTTTATGACCACTCTTCTTAAGGCCTCCATTACGCCTGTTTTAATAGGCTTTAGTAGACTTCGAGCCATCCCCACAGGAAGATGTTTGGGTGACACAGATAGACCTGCCCCTTAATCCTGACATTAACCACCTAGGTGGTCAACTACTTTTCTGCTGTTGTGACTAAATGTCCAAGGCTGGGTCTGAGGGAAACTGGGAGGCCACAGTCTGTAAGGTAAGTGTGTTAGCCTGAATTCTAGAGGACTCAGGGCTCCCAGTGGTCAAGGACAGCATCTTCCTCATTCGGTATACTCAGTGCCCATAAGAGCCTGACACAGGTACAGCATTTATTGAAAGTTGAATGATGGATGGATGGACGGGTGGTAGATGGATGGATGGACGGATGGATAGATGGATGGAGAGATGGATGGTCAGATGGGGGATGGATGGATGG